ACGAGGAGTGGCGACCGCCCCTCCCCTCGCCGGAAAATAAGCCTAGGAGTGCTGGTTCAGCCCCTCCACTCTCGTCGGAATTCGTGGCACCTGTAAAAATTGGTTTTGGTCGGTGCACTGTCTTGGTCGAATTTGCAGAGGAAGAGCAATAATTTGGTTGGATTTGCTGAGGAATGACGAAGACGGAAGGGAGAGGTTGGAGGATGAGGACCCCCCGATTATCTGGGCAGGTTCTGCTGGCTGGGTTTAGTTGCACAGTCAACAGCGACTGGCTACAGCTCGTGAAGAAGAAGAAGAGTTTTGCTTTATCTTTTTCTCTTTTAAAGCTTAACACGCTGTCGTTTAAAGGGCTTGGCTTTAATAAAACGCTGCATTTGTTTTTCTTATTATTATTTTTTAATATCTTTTGGGGAAAGGCTGCATGGTTGTTTGTTTTCCTTTTTCACTTCCAAAAGCCCCACAAACTCGTCCCACCCACATGTCTATTATATATAAAACTAGTGCCCTAATAATTTTGTTTTATTCTAAAACCAAAGAAACTCGTATTAATTATAAACGTAGCTGTTATTATATTAAAAACAAAAAATTGTTTGATAATTATTTCGTTTTTACTTTTTTTTATGTTACTGTTTTGAAAACTAAATTTGTTGTACTTTCTGCTTACATTGACTTTGATATTATTGCTTACAACCGTTTTGGTGGATAAACTATTTTCTACTATGACTATTGACTCAACACTTTGCACTCTCCAATGTGAAAGCAACCGCGTCGATTGAACTTTGCACTCTTGAATTTCGCCCCTCCCCTTGGCAAATCCTGGCTTCGCCACTGTATATATATATATATATATATATATATATATATATATATATATATATATATATATATATATATATTATGGGCTAACTACATGATAGAATCGAATCATTGATTCATAACCCTAAACGATATTAATGTCTTGATTGTATGTATGCATATGTATAGTCCTCCAACCAACGTGATGCATGAGAGATATATCGATAAAAAACAGCAGACAAAAATCTATCGTTGAAGCTTGCATGCACTTCCAAACCATGCATATGGTATATAGATGTTAATCATAAGCAACATGCTAGCTGCCCTTCCAATTTATTATTATTTTTAACCTATATGTATGTCAACATTATACTATTTGGCTTTATCCGGAAAACTATTGCAAAAGGTTACCATTTTGTTGTTCAGAAGGCTAGCAGGTTCATCCATCTGCTCCATCATTAGGGCTTATCATGTAATCACGTTGGGGTTTCTCATTCTTTATTTTATAATTAAAATTTCATTCGGTAGGCAACGTGATATGAAAACATGAACTGCTTGATACCTTTTTTTTTTTTTTTTTTTTTCAATTAAGTTTCCCACACAATTCTTGATGAATTTTGTGGGGCCAAGCATGATCCATCACTAATATTATCGATATTGTTCAAATTTAATCATGTTTTATACAAAAGATCTCGGTAATAATAGGAGTGAAAACTTCCATATATTAGTTATATATTGTTTTATGAGTAATACTATTCATATCATATTTTTGTACTACATTTTCATACCACCTTAGGTGACATTTGATGTGGATAGCCACACCATTTGAATTAATCAGATTTTTAAATTTAGTTCATTATTTAATAAACTAATAATTAAGAAAAACTAGTAAATTAAATGATGATTGTGGTATACGAGGAGTCTTTCTTCTTCCTTTCCTTGGGTTCAGATGCCACCTAAGATGATATAAAAATGTGGTATAAAAACATTGTATGAATATCATTACTCTTGTTTTATCATATCATCGATGTATGATCCTATTCTCCAATATTTCTTTGTTGAATACAAATGCAATTCTGCTAGCTCTTTCCAAATTTTAGTCCGCAACATATAGTTGGATTTTAATAAGTATTTTATTCTAGGAGTGAGACATATCAATCTTATTGTCCATTTATATTACAACATGTTGGATGAATTCCTCGAACAGTTGGTAGGCACAGCTTCATGCAACAACTAAGCTTTTGAGGGATCAATTTTTAAAGTTATACGGGAGATTTTGGACCAAGAAAAGAGTAAAGAGAAACACCTTGAGGTTGGGCGCTATATGACTGTAATTAAAATTAAAAAAATGCTAAGAATATCACATTTTTGTACCACGTTGGTATAGCATTTGACATGACAAGTGATGCCTACATGTTATGTGATTAACAAATCTATTTTATTGGATGATGGTTGTATTCAGGGGCGGATGGAAATTGGGACCTTGGTGGTCCTAGGACCACATAGAGTTCAAAAAATATCTGTGTGAATGTCTTATAAGGATTCTCCGAATGTTTTGTACGGGTTCTTTTTTTGCCCACTAAGTGTTTGATATGATGCATGCTAGGCATATCTCTACAAGTTGATCGACAACACTTGACAAATTATCTCTATCATTAGATTGCTTCGGCATATGTACAACATGATTTGGTTGACAGCAAGAAGATGACAAAGTGTTCGATAAAATGACTTAGTGAATAAAGTAATTTTTTTTTTTGCATGCTTCACACATTGTTCTTATATAAAAAACATGTATTTAACAATAGAACCCCCAAGGTTCAAATCCTGGATCCACCACTGATTATATGCATCACTTGTCACATGAAGTGATACAATTATATAGTTTAAAAATGTAATCTCTAGCATTACTCTTAATATAATATTTGTGTGTTGTGTGAAAGGTATTAGAAATTGGAAAGGGATCATCTTCGGATCCCTTCCTCCTAATCCACCAAGTCCAGGGATCCGGACCATTAAAATTTGATCAAACGGCTAAAGTTATTAGACTATCTTCAAAGGAGATGTCAAATTTTAAACCTAAAATTTAAATTTGAAGGTTACGTGGCACTTTCGCATTTTAAAATTTTTGCTCTCCAATCGATATGTCAAATTTTAAACATAAAATAATAATTCATATGTATTTTCTTTGCATTGGGAATGAAAAGAAACAAAAGGATAATGCTTTAAACCAATAAAAATTAATAAAAAGCATTTAATAATTAATTAAATTTTTTTGAAGGTGCTGTCAAATTTGGCAGCAAGGGGAAGAGATGTCAATCCATGTCATGCCACATTAGATTTGGCTTCTCGGTTGGAAAACATTAATGCTGTCTTTTGTTACTGTGATTGATGATTTGGACAATTTGACATCTCCTTTGGAGATGCTCTTATAACTTTTAAATTGAGCCCCTATTTGTAGTTATTTGATCAAATTTCAATGGTCCGGATCTCTGAACTTGGTGAATTATGAGGAAGAGATCCAGAGAGGATCCTTTCCTTAGAAATTGAAGTTTACCACGTACCGTATGTCTCTTTTTTCTAAAATGCAAGTAATGGTAGTACTACACGTACTATGAAAGTTTAAGGACAATGATTGTCTGCCCTCCTTGTTCCCGTGTCCTCCTGTTTGTATGATCACGGTTAAATCACGTCAATATTTTATATTAATATTTATTTTTATCTTATTATCTTTATAAAATATAATATAAAATGTTGTTGTGACTTAACCGTGATCATATAAAACAGGAGGGCACATGAACAAGGAGGGCAGACAATTCTTGTCCAAAGTTTAAACCCATGAGAGTTGGCAAGTTGGTACGATTGTCGATCCTATTGAATACATTTTGTTAATCTACATCCTCACCCTGCCAGCTACTTAAGAATTTGAACTTTCCAACGCATTTGTGGTATTTGGAAATTGCCACGAATTTGGACCGGATGGTCATGTTTTACTAGCTGTCACAGAAGCTTTTCCATTTGTGATTTTAATATTAATAAAGAAGGAAAATATGGATCAAATTAATCAAACCCCGATAAAGTGTGTTATGACCGTGGGAATGCGCACGCGGCTGACCATTGGAATTTGAATTTATATCCTTGAAGAAATTTCGTGGATGGAGCTTAATTAGGGTTAATTAGCAAATATAATTAATGCGATTCTGTGAACTAACAACCAAGTCATGCCAGTTTGTTTCCTTGCTACATATGAAAATTTTGTCTTATTATCATGCATGCAGACACAAAATTCACCAACTTCGATATGAACAACATAACAACAAAATACCATAACAACAATATATTATGGAGAAGAGTAATGTTATTCATACCATGTTTTTGTACCACATTTTCATATCATCTTAGGATGGTATATGATGTGGACACCCACATCATTTGAAAAATTTGCAAAACCCAAGGAAAGGAAGAAGAAAGACTTCTCGTATACTACAATAATAATTTAATTAATTAGTTTTTCTTAATTATTAGTTTATTAAATAATAAACTAAATTAAAAAATCTGATTAATTCAAATGATATGACTGTCTATATCAAATGCCACCTAAGGTGGTATGAAAATGTGGTACAAAAATATGATATGAATAACATTACTCTATGGAGAATCAAATCTAGAATGAGCTTTTTTTTTTTTTTTTTTTTTTTTTTTTTTTTTTTTTTTTTTTCTGAATTCCTAAATTTATTGCAGCAATATAAAGTGAATCTTCTGCTAGAGTGTTTGTAATAATCAATCAGTCTAGCTATATTTCAATATAAGCATTGACGAAATTAATTCTTATTTGAATGCGTGATTCATAATTTCATATGACTATATACAAATATCCGTCTGACATTAACTTAAAGATTTAGCTATATTGCAGGGATATGAGGATATGATTATAAACATTGATAACGTGAATTCTTGTATGGAGTCATACGTAATTGATTCTGGTATAATCGATCATGTGCTAGCATAAATATTGCCTAATTAGTTTGTTAATATAACATTACTCTATAATATAGGATCTTAATTAAATGGACACCCTGAACCTCATGCTGCTTGAATGTCTTATATATGAAGCAGTTTAAGCGGGTCTTTGTTATGTTGTTAAATTTTAATTAGTTCTCTTGACGATGTTTATGACTCTTAGTAATCCAAAATTAAGAGCTAAATCATAAATTCCAAGGCTAATTAAACATTAATCGAACGATACATAATATTTAAACATATATATAGGCTGGTATATATGCACAAATTAATAGTACAATCTTTGATTTCTTTCCTTTTGTCAGCTTTCTGATTCAAAAATTGTGATCAGAAGTCTGCTACGTACATTCTAATCTATCAAGAAACAAGAAAAAGAACAACAATAAAAATAAAAAAAAAATTTGGCCTTCAAAGTTCAAGGCATCCTATTAGGAACCCTGATCTCTCTCACAGTCCTAGAGTGCATCAAACCCTCTTCCCTCCGCTTACTTATGGGACGAAGCAACTTTGTCCAAAACCGACTCTTCTTCTTCTCTTCACTTCCCATCTCCCTCTTTCGTCTCGGAAAATAATTCACCAGCGACCTACTTTTACTAAGCACATTATTTTCACCGCTCAACAACCAAGATATCGAACCCTTTTGCTCGTAACCTGGCGCAGGAGATGAAGAAGAAGAAGCCGAAGAGGACGAGTAGTACGACGATAAAGAAGAAGTCGTAGAAGGAGAAGCGGACAAATTTCTATGCAAGTAGGGGATAGAATAAGTCGAGAGCTTGTGAGCAACTCGTTCTAGCTTTTCCTTCAAGCACAAGGAGCAAACGCCCGGCGATTGTTGGTGTTTCGGGTGCCTCTTGCAAGCGATATCGGTCTTGTTTTTGGACGATCTTCTGAGCTTTTCCATTTGTGACTGGTTTGCAGTAGCAATGGTTGTGGGAGATTTATAGAGGAAATAAGTAAAGAGATATTGTGTTTTGGTGTGTTTCCATGTTAGTTCATGCGAGCTTCTTCGGGTTTTCTATGATGCCTTTTTTGAAGGGTTGTGGGGTTTGAAAAAGTTGGATATTGAGGACCAAATGAAGAGCTGTGATTGATGGGAGCGTGGGGAGGGTCCACTTGGGATTGGAGTCGGTGGCTGTGATCGTCGGGACTTGGGATAGATTATTGTGGAAATGTCGACTGGAAAAAATAGAGAGATAGGAATTTTCCAAGCTTTCTGTGGGGGGCCCGGGGGCGGCGTGGAAAGGAAAACTGGAGGCGTGGACGGGATCAAACTAGGATACGACGACGTTATCGATGTAGGGAATGTTTATTTTTTGGTCAAAATGGTGTAGGGAATATGTTAGTAAAAGTATTTTAGAAGGAAAATTCGTGTTTATTACTCAAATGTCTTCCAACAAAAAAACAACATATAATCTTATTATGTTGAAGTTCTATTGTTTTCATTGACCAATACAATTAGTAATTAATTATATATACAAATTAAGTTTTCATATACCACTTAAGCGGCTAACTTATCAATTTCTATCTAATACAGTAGTAGTATTTTCTTCAATTTGAATGGAGTTATTATTAGTGGATTAGAGCATTTCCAAAAGATTATAATCTTTCATTAAAAAGGATGAAATAAAGACAGGTTAATACGATAAGTAAATAAGGGGGTGGGGGGGATAGCTTAGCAATATAATTTTAACATAATATTCTAATTTACACTCTAATCCTAAGGCCAATGATCCAGCTTTTACAGACTACACATGGGTTCAAAACTTCAAATCGCGTGGTGGTTGTATGAAGAAAACCAGTATGTTCTCATTTGTTTAGACATATATAAAATGTGATTAACAAAAACATAGTGGTTAGCTGGTTGGTTTCTATTTTTATTCTTTTTTTCTTTTCGTACAAGTAAAGGTCTAACTTGATAAATTAACTGGTAATTTATTTTTGTGCTCATGAACTAAACTCAATGAGTGCTTGTAAAATTAAATTGAGCTAATTGAACAAACTAAATTGACAAATGGTTTGTAACTTAGTTGATTAAGAACATTTGTCCTTGCACTTGGAGTTCCTTGTTCAAATTCATCTCCTGTGATTTAATGTAGATTATTCTATCAAAAGTTTGAATCTCCTTATTCGTTAATTTAAAACAAAAAATTGAGTACTAGCTTGCAAGGCTGTTTGATCAATCCCTCTTTCCATGCCTACTTCACTCCAAGTGGAAACGCAGCACTAGAAACCAGCTTAGCATATTGACCCAGAAATACAAAATAAAAAATAAAAAATAAACCAGCCTAGCTGTTCCTTAGAAAATTATATAATTAACATGCAAGCATTGCATTAGTTGAGAGTTGAGGCTTGATATAGTTAGAGCTAGTTTGATATTATTGTGCTTTGAAAAAAAAAATTGCTTATGCTGTCATGTGAGAATAAGTTTATTTTTGTTGCTTCATGTTTTCAGCTTTTTTCACAAAAAACTATGAAAATAAGCTGTTTTAAGTATTTACCAAATACATTTTTTAGCTCAACTTTTTTTTATATTCAATTTTTATAAAAAACAGCTCAGTACCAAATTAGTAATTAATATATTAAAGAAAGTGGGCCAAAAACAAGTATGAACAGTAGGATTTCTTATACTCCTCGGTCTCAACTTGGAGTCGGAACAGAAGTATGCATGTCAATCTGTGAGAATTAAAGCCATAAACCAGGGTTAGGATGTTGGTGAGGCATCAGCTTTTTGTCTAACAAATCTGTGACAGTGATTTTTTATTCAATAGCGCGCGGAAAACCTGGTCCTTGACAGTGGGATTGGATTCCTTCCGGCCAGGAAAATCCCATTCACATTCCCATTCTCGTGCATATTATATCATATCATATCATATGCTTCTCCTGTTCAACTAGACTTCAATAGTTTGAACTACTCAGTAGTACAGAAAATGAAAAATTAAAATTGAATTGAGAAAATATGATTTTTTTTTTCTCAACTGCCAATCTAATAGATAAAAAGTTAGACTACCTAGTAACCAAATTACTGAAGACAAAACCCCCTGCTCTACTCATTTTTTTTTCGTTGTTGTTGTTTGGGCCTGAAATCTTGGGTTTGGGCTGAGTTGGTGGACGTCAACTCAAAAAGGAGGTTGTGAACTTCGGCTTAGTAGTGCAGTGCTAATGGAGTGGTCGAATCCTAGACAAAGTAGGATTGTTTGAGGATCAGGATTGACTTTTGGATGAGATTTGAATTAATTACTTAAGAATCATGATTGGTTTCTAGATGAAATATGAATCAATCGCATAATAAGTCTGGGTTCTAGACCCTAGTTCAAGTTGAGGAAGGCGAGACTCGGCGATGGTAGAGTTTTGGTGGAGAATGATTTGTGAGGAAATTGAAAATAATGCTAAGGAATTGCAATGCTATCAGATTCTACAACTTGAGCATCATGAAATTTATTCTAATAAATATAAGAGATTGTGCAACAAGAAAAGGACTTTCAACTCAACACATAAATCAATGCTTTATGCAAAACCCTTTCACACCCTATTGTGAAATTGACATACTAACCGTTAACACAAATTTTCATTGGATAGACGGGTTTGGGTTAGTAGCCAACATACGACAATTGATTGGATAGATGGGGTTTTCCACAAACAACCAGTGAAGGCGACCGACTGGATAGATGGGGTAGCACAAAAGGATTGGAATTGTTTTAATTGGATGTAAAATCAATATTTCTCAATGGGGTGTTAGAAGAAGAGGTTTATGTTGAACAACCAAAGGGTTTCCAAATTAAAAATCCAGAAGATAAGGTGTATAGGGTTGAAGAAGGCTCTATATGGGCTAAAACAAGCACCTAGAGCATGGTATGGTGAAATAGATTCTTACTTCACCAAAATTGGGTTCTAGAGAATCTCTAGTGAAACTACCTTGTATACCAAGAAACAAGGAAACTCTGATATTCTCATTGTGTCTGTGTATGTTGATGATGTGGTGTTCATAGGAAAGAATGAAGGAATGCTCACTGAGTTCAAAAATGATATGATGAAACATTAGGAGATGTCTGATTTGGGACTATTGCATCATTTCCTTGGCATAGGAGTTGTGCAAAATGATACTAGGATCTTCATTCATCAAATGAAGTATGCCAAGACCTTACTAGAGAAGTTTGGACTAAAAGATTGTAAATCTGTGTGCACTCCACTGATGTTAAATGCAAAGTTAATTAAGCCAAGATGATGGAATTGAGGATGTGGATCAAAGTTTATACAAAAGCATTGTGGGTAGCTTACTCTACTTGACAACAACAAGACCAAACATCATGTATGTTGCAAGCCTACTATTTAGGTTCATGCATTGTCCAACAAAAACTCATCTAGGAACTACAAAGAGGGTTTTGAGATATGTGCAGGGCACAATTAACTATGGGATCTACTCTTAGAAAGGACGATCTTCAATTCTAATTAGGGGAGGCAATGAAGATCATTCAAAAAGAGCCTCAGGGTATGCTTTTTCTTTTGGATCAAGTGCATTCTCATGGGCTTCTGTCAAGCAACAAATAGTTGCACTAACAATTGCAGAAGCTGAATATGTAGCTGCTGCAGAAGTAATATTTCAAGCCATTTGGCTCAAATTTGTGTTGAAGGATTTTGGTGAAGTTCAATTGGAAGCTACATCATCGATGTGTGACAATATGTTAGCAATTGCAATGACAAAAAACGTTGTGTCCCATCACAGAACAAGGCACATCAAAAGGAAGTACCATTTCATCAGAGACGTTTTGTAGTAGAATGTAACTACTCTAGTCACATCAAAAAACCCTCTACTGCAAAATTGAAGATCAAGTGACTGATATCTTCACCAAACCATTGCCTAAAGAGAGATTCACATATCTCAAAGATCTACTTAGTGTTCAGGCTAGAAACAACTTAAAAGGGAGTATGGAATATAAGCTGCTTGTAGCCTTGAAGGTTTGAAGACATGACCAAATATGGATGAAGAATGTAACAGCTAGTTTTTTTCATTTAAACTGTAACGGCTAGTTTTTGTCGATAAGAATCCTAGTCATCCAAGAGAAGATGTAAGACTAAGATTAGAATTAGGGGAACTTTAACGAAAAGCTCCCGGTACTGTTCACTTTAACGAAAAACCACATTTTTATACTAAAAAGTCAATCATGGTACTATTCACTTTACTCTTTATTTTGTCTTTATCGTTAAAACTCAAAGTTTTCAAGCCATTTTCATTAGTTTTCCTTAAAATTAGTTTAGGGCTGTGATTTACATATCTAGCTGTCCATTAGTATTCCCTGCAATTTTGATAAGAATGTAGAAGAATGTTGATGATGAATATTGAATGAATGCACCAATCTAGCAATAATGTTTTGTAGAATGCAATATTGAAAATTTCTTTGTTTTGTTTTTTCTTTTACATCATTCTTCTCCCAAAATATCCAAATTGTAACAGTATTTACCTGTTAGAAACATGTTTTGACGGCTGAATAGAGCAGAATGGATATTACCAATCAGGTAATGCTAGTAAGACTAAATTTGTAGTCAAAATTTTACAAACTAAATGACCTGGAAGTTGATGATTGGATTATTACTTAAGCATTGATAAACATGATCATTTCTATTGGTGACACATCATTTAGTTTGTAAATTTTATCTACAAATTTAGTATCCCTAACATTACCCTTACCAATCAATTATTTAGCTGAGGAGTGTGAGCTATAATAGTTTCTTTCCTTTAAAATAATGGGTAAGAACATGCCCGTGTATCTTATCTACGCCATTCTTTTTCCCTGCATCTCTCTTTTAAAAAATGGTACATATTTTTTTTACCATTTTCCGTACATTAACAAACATGGGATGATGATTTTCATTCTCAATTCTTTAGTGTATTATGCATACCAGTTGCTTGTTTTTCTTTTAGAAATTATTAGTGGGAGTAAATTTGGGAAGGGTGCTGAGAAATAGGTATGATTAGAGCACTATAAACCCTTCTTCAAAACTCAAGCTGCTGGGTGCGTATCAAATTAGTATTAATACTGATAAACACTTGAGTGCTACGGAATTTGCTTGACAGGAGGGAAAAAAGAGAAGTTATTTATTCAATTTCCTCCCTTTAGCCATCGGCGAAGTGATCAAACTACTGCAACGGAAAAGAGAAAGTTGGAAGCTCAATGTCAGAGACTAGAGGTGCTCCAGAGAAGGGGATATAATTTGGAAGAGCTGCTGCAGAATGTATGGGTAATAGGCTAGTTTACAAGAAGGGATCTTCATAGAATTCCACCGAACAATGTGCTATTTTCCATGATGAACTCGTGTGAATTGACAAGGTATCTAAGTTTATGTAACTTGTACGGAACTCTTTGGTTATCTTTTGAATGAATACACTAGATATGATGGATTGTATTGTTATGAAGGGAATACAAAAAATGTTAGTTTATCTCATGACTTAATTCCTTGATTGCCTTTGCCCTAGATGAATCTATGTTTTGACCAAAACAAAAGGTGTGATTCTGAAACCATTGGAAGAAGCTATATATGAAACATGCAACTCATTTAGTCGAAAACTAAACCACAACAAACAGCTACACGTTGTCAATTCGAACCACGACAACACGCAAAAGAGGTGTCGTTCCCTTATGCTTCTTGTTGTCTATATAGTTTTTTAACAACACTCCATCTCACCTTGTTGAAGGGGTAGTAAAGTGGAGGAAACAATAAGACAGTTGGAATTTGGATGATTAATCTTAGAGGTTATAATTAAAGAAGAAAGTGACAAAAATTACAATAAGACAATTGGAATTTGGATGATTAATCTTAGAGGTTATAATTAAAGAAGAAAGTGACAAAAATTACAATAAGACAATTGGAATTTGGATGACTAATCTTAGAGGTCCTGATTGACAAAATTGAAGGTTGGTAAGTGTGAACCAATGAGAGAGACGTATATAACTAGCGCAGAGCTAGGCTCTCTCAGTATATACAAATTGATCCTTTGATATATCACGACTTGTCCTACAAGTAAACTATACACATTAATACTAAAAATACAACATTTGTGAAGGGGGGAAAATGTTAACTTCACCCCTACCTAGAGGATGCCTTGTGAAGCCTCAAACTTTTATAACAAGCCAACAAATTAAAGAAGATAAGAAGATTAGGCCCTAAAATGTTTGCTAAACATTGTTGTCTAGCTATATATAGATATGATGATAAATAAAACCCTGTGTTAGGTATTTCAACCATTAACTCTTTTGTTAGATGAATACATTTACGGTTAATTGTAAGTGTGAAAAAAATGAAAAACATGCATCAATAATGTCATGAAATGTAACTGATCATATTCTTTGACAGATGCATTTGCATCCTAAAATATATTTATATATGCGTACTCCACACAGTCGTTCACATCAGTACACGACAAATATTGATCGAATCAGTTTTTCAAAGCTTAAGCAATGTTGTCTAGCAAATCACCTATTTTCTTTCTTGTTGTTGCTATGGCTGCAGGCACATCCTTAACTTTCACCAATAAAATAAAGCCCATTCCCTTCCTCCAAAACCATACCCTTGTCCATGCAAAAAATGTCGACGTTTCTAAAGCTCAGGCAATAACTATGTCGTCCTCACTCTGCCAAAACACAAGTGGTATAATGGCCCCTGTGAAGCGTTCATTTAATGGCTTTTTTTACGTGGAGCTCTGGATTGGGACGCCCCCAGTTAGGGCCAACGTGGCCATTGACACAGGGAGCGACCTCACCTGGGTGCAATCCGCAGATTGCACCAAGTGTTTCCCCGTAGCTCTGCCAATTTACGATGGTATGAAATTAGCTACCTACATAGCCATGTCTCCTCATCATCCACTATGTCCTGATCCTTCTCCTTTTGGTCATAACGACACTTGTACGTACGAGGTTAGCTACTTGGGCGAACATTTGGAGGAAGAGCAGAACATCAGTGGCCAGTTTGGATGGGATGTATTTACCTTCAAATCTGAAATTCGTGGGCAACAGGAGCAGCAACAACGGGTCACAAACGTTACGTTTGGCAGCGGGATAGTGAACCACCTTGATACTGGGCCTGAAGGTACAGAAGGGAACCCGATCGCAGGGAATCTAGGATTAGCCTACATGGAGAGCAGCAACAACGGGTCACAAACGTTACGTTTGGCAGCGGGATAGTGAACCACCTTGATACTGGGCCTGAAGGTACAGAAGGGAACCCGATCGCAGGGATTCTAGGATTAGCCTACATGGAGCCTAGTAGCTTCTTGAAACAATTGAGGAATTTCACCCTCAAAAGATTTTTTTATTGCCTTTCCAGCTTGGTAAATTATTAGTTTGTTTGTTACGAATTGTTAAAAGTTGCGCCGGACACAGATTTATTGGCAAATTAAACTTCATGATTAACTGATTAATGTGGAGAGCTGGGCTCCCCTGAATTATTGCAGTCTCGTCATTTGATCACCTGAGCAAACTAATAGTTTGTATCGATACATTACCGCTGAAGAGATTAATGGGGTTTGATAGTGTCTTAAGCTCTTTTGGACGATTAGAAAATAGGAACACGTTTGTTGATGGTCTTTATCTGTCAAGAAATACTCATCCCCGGGGCTGAAAACCATCAACAAACTCATTCTCGACACCTCTAACATAGTAATTAGAGGCAAACATATGAAATTCTAACAAAGATTAAGCTGCCAAGCTATCTAGCCTTACTCAAATCACAATAAGATTCATATTAGAACAGAATGAGCTTTCACACCCGCCATTTTAATCACTCTCCAATATACGAGTTAAGTAATAAGAACAGTAGGCACTGAACAACAAATTTTGGTCAGCAAAGCCCTTAGAGGTATACTATTTGTTTGCCAGCATTGGCACATTGCTCTATCTGTATCAATCATCGCCTCTTTCTAACATGCAGCACCCAGATCGACCTTTATGATAGATTTGATACCATATTTGGCATGAATGCAAACTTGTTCTACATCTGTGGAAAACCAAGAGTCTTCAAAGAAAAAACCAAATTAAAGAAACACAAATCCAGCGGTATTCAATAAGAAATAACATGGGGGAAGAAAAAACAAAGTTCACAAAATGACCAAAACGGGAAGATAAATAAAAAACTGTGTATAACGAAGATTAATAAGAATCATTTAGTAGAGAAGGATAAAACTTGGTTTGTTAAATTGTTGAGATATTTTGTCCTTTCTATTTTTGGTAGTTATAGTTTGTTAGAGTTGGAGTCCACACATGTGCAGAGTCAAGGCTTGTATATTTGTACTCTTGTAAACTTATCATTTGAGTTAATGAGAATTACAATTTTTTGATGGTATCCTGCGCTTCTGTCTACTGACCTACTCCGATCCTAATCCTCGCTTACTTTTACTGCAATCATTTCTCAAACCCTGATTTGCCAACCATGGCGACTTCTGATTCTCCCTCAGAATCTACCACGCAGCTTCATCCTCCTGTTCCACCAGCTGCAAATCCTTTTCTCATTTCTTCGATCACAACCCAAAATATCGGATCCATGGTTCCTATTAAGCTCACTACCACGAATTATCTCACTTGCAGTGGTCTTTGCGCTCTGCTCTTTTGAAGATATAATCTCACCGAAATTGTTGATGGCTCCATGGCAGCTCCGCCCAAATTTCTCTATGATTCTAGTGGAAATCGCAACTCCATACTTAATCTTGACTATATGGCCTAATTTGACAATTAAAATATTTTGATCTGGATTAACTCTACTCTCTCTGATTCCTTGATTCCTTATACAGTTGTGTAAATTCTTCTCGTGAGCTTTGGTTAAAACTTGAATTGCAACTTGCAGTGGTATCTCAATCGCACATCCACGAACTTTGATCGCGTCTTCATCAAATTACAAAAGACGACTACACTGATGCTATGTATCTTCAACAAATTGAAGAAATTGCTGATGCTCTTGCCAGCGCTGGTGCTCTGATTGAGGATTCTAAATTGATATCAGTCGTGCTTATGGACTTCCACTAGAATATGAATCGTTTGTGGATGCAATTCAATTTCGCCTTGGATTTACTACAATTGATGAACTTCATAATCTCTTACTCAGCAAGGAACTTCGATTGACTAACATGAAGAGTTGTCATCTTCTTTAACCTTTCAGGCCTATAATTCATCAATTGGATCATCAGCTTTTGGTTTACTACCTACTTCAGGCGCAAACCCTAATTCTCAACCTTTGTTGCTTAGAATTCCTCCAATTTCAACTCATCTCAAAGTCGCGGTCAAGATAGTAACTCCTCAAATTCTAGGGGTTCACAAGTTCATAATTACTCCAATTACCGATCTAACAATCAGTGCTAGAACTTCAATCTGCAGAACAATCAATTCAATCGAGGAGGACGATCTAGTTATAACTCTGGTTACAATTTTGGCTGTCGCATCTCTTGCCATATCTTTTCGTCAATTTGATCATGAAGTTGTGGATTGTCCACAACGTCTGAATCCATCATATGGTAGCAAGAATATTCCATCTGATATGTCTGCTAACACCACCTCTGCTCAACCTTCCTGGATTCTTAACTTTGGTGCAATATCTCATATGAAAAATTCTCTGGAGCAAAATCCAAAAGCAAATCATGGACCTGAACAAGTCTATATTGGAGACGGCAAAGGTTTGCAAATTCTACACTCTAGTTCCTTTAGAGTTTCTGTTCCTAATCATACTTTTGCACTTAAGAATGTCCTTCATGTGCCTGATTTACAAGACAATTTGCTATCTGCAAACCAGTTGATACTTGATAATTGATATTCTATTCATCTATATCTATATCACTTTATTATGAAGGATATTTCTTCGGAGATGATGCTTTTTAAAGGTCCAGTAAGGAATGGATTTTATCCTTTTCATGCCTCTCATTCTATTGGCAATCATCTGTTTACTGTAGCAAATAAAGTCTCCCATGAAGTTTGGCATCAAAGGCCGAGCCATCCTTCATTCAAAATACATAATAAAGTCTCCCAGTCTTGTAATTCAGTTGCTTTAAGTTCGAATAAGTGTTTTTGTTTAAACTGTGCCTTAGGAACATGTTCTAAGCTTTCCTTTGTATCTTCAAATAGTACTACATGTAAACCATTAGAACTCTTACACATTGATGTTTGGGGGCCAACATCATTGTTTTCTATAAGTGGCTATAAGTATTATATCATCTTTGTTGATGACTATACCAGGTATATTTGGTTATACCCTATCAAATACAAGTCTGAGGTGTTTTCAACATTTATTAAGTTCAAAAATCTTGTTGAAAACATGTTAAGTTCAAGAATTGTAACTCTTAGATCAGATTCTGGAAGAGAATTCCTAAGTTCTGCATTTTCTCAGTATTTACAAGTTCATGGTATTCAACATTAGTTAAGTAGCCCGCACACACCTGAGCAAAATGGGTGTGCTGAGCGCAAACATATGCATTTGGTATCGGTGATGGAGAGAGGAGAGGGAGAAGTCTGAGAGACAGAGAGAAAAGGAAATACAGGGAGTTGAGATTTTGGGTGCCATGCTAAAATTTTGGCAGCCCTTCAAATTTTTAATCTCCCGCCTCCTTCAAACGTTTTCAATTATGTAGGATAAAAACATCAATCATGGACAAAAGACGTAGTGAATTCACAAAAGGCGATATTGTAGTTTGAAGTAACTATTATGACCATATATTGTGGTAATTATGATATTCCATCACGGATTTAAATGTCTGTTGTAAATTATTCGATTTTAACAACGGGTCAAAATCTGACCATGATGGATTAATGTTATCTACCACGAGTTAAACTTGACCGTGCTAATTCAATAGTTTTTACCACGAGCTATATATGCCTGTGATAGAATTAACGTGATAGATGAACTATTTTGTTCTAGTGACTATATTTTGAAAAAAAAGACATTGTTTTTAGAAACATGGTAGCATTTTCCTTTCTATACTTTTTTACAATCATTGCCAACAGATTTTTTATAAAAAATATTTCTTTTTTATTTTGTCAAACACATTTAATATTTAAATTTTTTTAATATGCTATTTTTTTATTTAAAAAACATCACAATTCCAGACGAGAGCTATATATATATATATATCACCTTCCAATTCATAAGGCCTTTAGTGAATAGTATTGAAGGTGGCAGAAGCTCATAGGATGACAACTAAAGAAGACAAAAATGTTACTTTGCCACGAGGGAGAGAGAAAATGAGTCTCTCTACATCATCTTCTTCGTTGGGACAAGGAGGCTCCTCCTCCTTCAGCAAACCGGACCCCATTTCCGATAGAACCAGAGGTGTGGCAGCACAGAAAATCAAAGTCCTGGGCTTCTTTTCCGGCTAGAAGAGGGGCGGCCGTCCTCTTTGTGCCATAATAGGTTCGCCCTTGATAACAGAACGCATTCAATATTAAAACTCTAACAAGAAGAAAAAGATCAAGATTTAATTCAAAGATTAAATTCTTCAACCTTATCGGTTATGTACTTACGTAAAGAATTCAGGTCAAAAATTTCTACTTTTTTATTGGGTCAAATAATTTTCTACTGCTTGAACAAGTCTCTGAAGCTGGAGCCTGGCGCATACCAAAAATTTCATCACTGACCGTGACCTGGTCTTTAAACTACAGACCATGACCTGGTCTTTAAACTAGGACTTCAAAATTCAATTTGTTCACGAATTTTAACCCTTCACTATTCTCATGAGCAAGTACGTGGACACCATATCCATATCCCTTCCTCCCTTCCTCTATATAAACCCCATGCAATATTCCAGGCAGAGACAACTTAATTATCTCGATCGATATCAAAATTCCCAAGTTATGGCAGTGAAATATTCAAGATCTTTGCTCTTTGGTGTGCTACTACTCATTGGCTTTGCATTGACAAATAGCAAAGCTGCTAATATGGATCCACCTGTGCATTGCGAATTTCTCAATCGCAACAGTTTTGAACCAGGGTTCATATTTGGCACAGGTTCTGCATCTTACCAGGTCAATATATATATCTTCTGGGATTATTTACCATTTTATTGGTATATTTTATACATGCAGTTAGCATCCATGCATGAATTATAATGTTGACATCTTCCTTGCGTGTGTGGTAGTACACTTACGAATATGCATGTATGTATATTTCAGTATGAAGGTGCAGTAAAAGAAGATGGAAGAGGACCAAG